ATGTGCGGTTATCATGATTTTCAGACCGCTTCGGAGGAGTCTCTCAAGGTCGCTACGGCAAATCGCCTCGAAGGATCGGATGCTCGATTCGGCAAATCACCTCGAACGATGTGCGGATCTCGGCACTTTCAGACCGCATCAGAGGCGCATCGGATGCTCGAATCGGCGAACCACGTGGAACGATGTGCGGATGTCGGCATTTCCGGATCGCATAAGGTGCGTCTCCGAGGGTCGGTACGGGAAATCACCTCGGAAGAACGAGACTCGCATTGGCAAATTACCTCGAACGATGTGGGATATCATGATTTTGAGACCGCTTCGGAGGAGTCTCTCAAGGTCGCTACGGCAAATCGCCTCGAAGGATCGGATGCTCGTGTCGGCAAATCACCTCGAACGATGTGCGGATATCGGCACTTTCAGACCGCATCACAGGCGCGTCGGATGCTCGAATCGGCAAATCACGTCGAACGATGGGCTGATATCGGCATTTCCAGATTGCATCAGACGCGTCTCCGAGGGTCGGCACGTGAAATCACCTCGGAAGAACGAGACTCGCATTGGCAAATTACCTCGAACGATGTGGGATATCATGATTTTGAGACCGCTTCGGAGGAGTCTCTCAAGGTCGCTACGGCAAATCGCCTCGAAGGATCGGATGCTCGTGTCGGCAAATCACCTCGAATGATGGGCGGATATCGGCATTTCCAGATCGCATCAGAGGCGCATCGGATGCTCGAATCGGCAAATCACGTCGAACGATGGGCGGATATCGGCATTTCCAGATCGCATCAGAGGCGCATCGGATGCTCGAATCGGCAAATCACGTCGAACGGTGGGCGTATAACGGCATTCCCAGATCGCATCAGATGCGTCTCGGAGGGTCGGTACGGGAAATCACCTCGAAAGAACGGAGACTCGAATTGGCAAATTGCCTCGAACGATGTGCGGATGTCAGGATTTCCATACCGCTCCGGACACGTCTCTCAAGGTGGCTGCGGCACTGCATGGCAAATCACCTCGAACGATGTGCGGATCTCGGCACTTTCAGACCGCATCAGAGGCGCATCGGATGCTCGAATCGGCGAACCACGTGGAACGATGTGCGGATGTCGGCATTTCCGGATCGCATAAGGTGCGTCTCCGAGGGTCGGTACGGGAAATCACCTCGGAAGAACGAGACTCGCATTGGCAAATTACCTCGAACGATGTGGGATATCATGATTTTGAGACCGCTTCGGAGGAGTCTCTCAAGGTCGCTACGGCAAATCGCCTCGAAGGATCGGATGCTCGAATCGGCAAATCACGTCGAACGATGGGCGGATATCGGCATTTCCAGATCGCATCAGAGGCGCATCGGATGCTCGAATCGGCAAATCACGTCGAACGATGAGCGGATGTCGGCATTTCCGGATCGCATCAGATGCGTCTCCGAGGGTCGGTCCGGGAAATCACCTCGAAAGAAGGGAGACTCGCATTGGCAAATTTCCTCGAACGATGTGGGATATCATGATTTTCAGACCGCTTCGGAGGAGTCTCTCAAGGTCGCTACGGCAAATCGCCTCGAAGGATCGGATGCTCGTGTCGGCAAATCACCTCGAATGATGGGCGGAAATCGGCATTTCCGGATCGCATCAGATGCGTCTCCGAGGGTCGGTACGGGAAATCACCTCGAAAGAACGGAGACTCGAATTGGCAAATTACCTCGAACGATGTGCGGATGTCAGGATTTTCATACCGCTCCGGACACGTCTCTCAAGGCCGCTGCGGCACTCCATGGCAAATCACGTTGAACGGTGGGCGGATATCGGCATTTCCAGATCGCATCAGATGCGTCTCCGAGGGTCGGTACGGGAAATCACGTCGGACGATGTGCGGATATCGGCACTTTCACACAGCATCAGAGGCGTCTCGGATTCTCGAATCGGCAAATGTCGTCGAACGTTGGGCGGATATCGGCATTTCCGGATCGCATCAGAAGGGTCTCCGAGGGTCGGTACGGGAAATCACCTCGAACGATGTGCGGATATCGGCACTTTCACACAGCATCAGAGGCGTCTCGGATTCTCGAATCGGCAAATCACGTCGAACGATNTGCGGATATCGGCACTTTCAGACCGCATCAGAGGCGCCTCGGATGCTCGAATCGGCAAATCACGTTGAACGGTGGGCGGATATCGGCATTTCCAGATCGCATCAGATGCGTCTCCGAGGGTCGGTACGGGAAATCACGTCGGACGATGTGCGGATATCGGCACTTTCACACAGCATCAGAGGCGTCTCGGATTCTCGAATCGGCAAATGTCGTCGAACGTTGGGCGGATATCGGCATTTCCGGATCGCATCAGAAGGGTCTCCGAGGGTCGGTACGGGAAATCACCTCGAACGATGTGCGGATATCGGCAC